ACCGCGACCTCTTCTATTTGCTGATTAAGCAAAAATAGGGGAACAATATCCTGCCAACGAAGAGGAAAATCCTCGTTAAACTCTGCAGAAAAGTGAACTTATATCTCTCAGCTCTCAACTAGGCATCCAGCTCATTACTTTCCTTATCGGCAAGAAATAAGTTTTGAGGACAATTCTGGGCACCAACACGAGGTCCAAAGAGGTTCTGCCATCTCAGAAGATATCTACTCTACTATGATATATTGGTTTTCTGTGGTTTCCAATCGCACTGCATTATAATACTTTTCCTAGGTAAATAATAGCCACAGCTACCCACTAAGCGTTGTTAACGAAAGACTAACAATTCTGAAAAGGTCTGTTTGTATTCTGAATTGTTATTATGTATAGAATTAAGATCAGTAGATCTTTTTAGAGCAGCCGCCAATAAGGTGCGGATAGCTGTGATGATAGCCCACTTCCGATAGGAGAAGGAACTATAAGAAGGATGGACAATGGACCGTTCCTGATAAGAATATGTATACACCCAACCAGAGCAAGTCCTAAAAAGAACAAAAAATAACACCGCTTCTGTGGAACCTGCCATTTTACCACCCCAATATTTACAAATCTTGTTCTCCCAGTCAAATCCATTCCAGTTTGTTACTGCTTGAAGAGACTTTAAAGAGTGCTTAAAGCAAATATCTTCCTGTTTTTACTACCATGCCTCGTATACTTTCTAACCTAAGAGTTAGGTAACACAGATGCGCGCGCAACACTTTTGCCATCCCAACACAAAACTTTCTTCTTCTTCATGTGCCTTATCCGTTCCGAACGTTGGCAATCAACATGGCTATTCTGTCTTTCTTTACGGCAGATCTGAATAGTTCAGCAGATGACAATCCGAACCATTGCCGCAAGTTTTGGAGCCACGAGTGTCTTCTCCTCCCTGGACCCCCTCTGCTGTCTATTTTCCCTTGAACGATCAGCTGTAGTACTCTATATTTATTATGTCTCATAACGTTACCCAAGTATTCCAACTTTTTACCTATCCGGCGCAGTACCTCTTCGTTGGTCACGTGCTCAGTCCAGGATATACGTAATATACGTCGGTAAGCCCACAAAACTTTAGTATCAATAATCGTTACGTGAAATATTTGACAATTTAGTAAAATATTAAACAGAATTACAATTGAAGTGTTTCCATTTTAAAAAGAGAGTTTGGTTAATCGTATCTAAAAAAAAAGATTTTTTTTTTTTATTTTTAATTTACCAATTTTTTCATATTTCTTATCCTAAAATTGTAATAACTCTGTTATAATGTAGTAGTTGGCATGCATTCTTTGGTTCGATTTGTCACAACATAAATGAGTGCATCAGTTTAAATATTTTCAAAAAGGTATTTAAACTTTTGCATTTTCTACACTATACATTAGTTGTAGGCTAGAACAGATTCTACATTAAAAATCCAATGAATTGGTTACTTTTACAAGATTTTACTTTAGCGACTAACACATGTTTCTTATCATGAATTGCTTGCAATGATTTTAATCCGGAGAGAAAAAATAATATATTTATAAGTTCACAAAAACAAAGTAACCATGTGCATTGTATAATTGCTGCTTCCATATAAATTTACTGCTATTGCTTTTCAAATATTTAAAAATATATCTAAATAAATCAATGTTTATAAAATATTTTAGTTTTTTAAGCTTACATTGCTTTTGCTAGAAGCTTTCAAAAGCTTCCAATCCAAAACAAGTTTCAGCTTGTGGGTATGAAATAGACCTATTGCGACCCGTAGGCATCATGAGTATAAATCTTAATTTAAAAACGGAACTGTTGTATTGAGCGAATTTTAGAGCTAGAACTGTACAATAATTCAATTAACTTTCCGTAGAAAACTTTATCAAATTTAGAGGAATAATCTTATAATAGTGCAGGAGAGATGAAATTGTTGTATTGTTTCATTTGATCATTTTGCACACTCTTGTAGCAAATATTTTAACAATATTTTGAAGTTGATCTTATGTTTTTCGTTATGTGTAGACATGTTGTGATGTCTACACTCAGGTTTATTTGTCGGCGCTGTCTCCAATAACCTTTGTGTTAATGTATACGTCAATATTAGTTTTATAGGGGTCTTATCAATTCTTAATTTTATCTTACGACAGTTTCACCATATTGGGTTATTACTTCTCTTCATATTTATCTCCCTTATACTTCGTAAATGGACAGTGTAATCCCTAGTTATTTGGGCTCTATTACTCGCTGTATATTCTCCATATGTTGGTTACTTATGAATTACTATCATTTTGTAGTCGAGATATGCAATTTCTTTGCTCTTTTATCGAATCTGTTTGTTAGTATTTGTAGATCATTCCGTATTGTCTTCTTTTGGAAACTGTTTTGATGACTCTATCCATGATTAAATCGAATAGCAGAAGGTGCAATGAATACTGGAGCATTTAAGAGTCTTACTTGAATTAGTCAAGCCGATTATTCAATAATGTTATTCCATTTCCTATGTCTATGTGTTCTGTAAACTGTCCGTTAATAGATGTTTGCTTCTTCTTCTTCTTTCTTCTTGTATGTAGGCTTTAAAGCCTGTTTCTTCTTCAATATTACCCTCCTAAATTGTTTAAATTATCGTACCATCTTTTTCTTGGTCTGCCAATACTTCTTCGTCCTTTTGGTGACTTATCTCTTGCTATTCGTACTATTCTATCCTCTACCATTCTACTAATGCTTTCGTTCCACTTGTTTCCGTTTTGTCACCTATCCATTTATGTCTTCTATATTGCATGCTCGTCTTATGTTTTTGCTTCTCTCCCTATCCAACAGACTTTTCCCTGGTATTCGTCGGAGTATTTTCATCTCTTTTGTTTGTAGTAGTCGTCTCGTTTTAGGAGTGTCAGCTCTTGTCTCCACCGTGTATATTAATATAGGTCCAATTGCTGCTTTATAGATTCTTGTTTTTGTGTCTTGTCGTAGGTGTTTGTTCTTCCAGATTGTGTCATTAAGAGATCCCGCCGCTTTACTAGCTTTTAAGCTTTGTTGTCGTACTTCTTCTTCAACATCTCCGTTACTAGTTATATTTATTCCCAGATATCTAAACCTTGCTTCCTGGTTTATTATTTTCGCATCAATTTCGATTTTACATCCTAGTGGGCATTTAGATGTTATCATACGTGTGTTTTTTTCTGCTGATATTATCATATTGTATTTCTTGGCTCTTGTATTGAAGATGTGTGTTAATCTTTAAAGCTCGTCTTCTGTCTCGGCGATTAATGCCACGTCTGCATAACATATTTTGATTTTTTTGTTCCCCATTCTGTGACCATGACCTTTACATATTCCTTGTATTATTTCGTCAATTATTATATTAAAGAAAGTGGGCTTAACGAGTCACTCTGACTCCGCTTTGTACTGGTATACACTGTGTTAGTTTTCGATTTATCTTTGCCTGTATGTGATTATGGAAATGTATATCTAATTAGGTTTGCATATTATTGATTGGTATGTTTCTTTCATACAGTAGGTGTAAGACGTCTTTGACTTGCGATCGAAAGCCTTTGTCAGGTCTATAAAACATAGATATGCTGGTTTATTGTATTCTGTATGGCTTATCTGTAATTTATCTTATTAGTACAAATACTTGTTGTTCATCTGATAAAGTTGTTGGTTTATTGATTTTGTTGGTTAGGACTTTTGTGGTAAGCTTAAGTGCGGTGTTCAGTAGATTTATACCTCTATAATAGTTGAGGTCTTCTTTATCTCTTTTCTTCAACATTGGTATCATTATGATGTTTCTTCATGCGTCTGGTATCTTGCAGTGCAATATTAGTTTTTGTATAAGTTTTGTCATCTTTAGTGTTTATACTTTCTCCTTCGTATTTTAGAAGCTCTATGGTTATTCCGTCTGGTCCTAGTGACTTTTTGAGTGAAGCTATGGCTATCTCTACTTCCTGAAATCTACTTCTATTTCGTGTCTTAATTCAGGTACGTTATTGTATTGATTATTATTTTTCTTTTGCTTTAAACAGTTCCGTCAGGTACTTTTCCCATTCGTTTGTTGGTATCTTATTGTATTCCTTCAATTCTGTTATTTCTTTCCGTTGGTTTCTTATGAATCTCCATATTTGTTTTTGTGTACTGTAGAAGTCGCTTTCCATCCTGTTTGTAAACTGTTTTCAGTGTTCATTTTTTGTTCTTCTTACCAACTGTTTTGTTTCATTTCGTATTCTTCTATAGGTGTTTCGGGATTCGTATAGGCTTCTCGTTTCTCCCTTCAACAGGTATTTGCAATTGCTCTTATGATATCCAAAGGAATTTTCTTCTTGTACAAAAGATAAGCTATTACACCTTAGTCTTACTAGTATGTCTATATCCTGATTTCCATCTTCTCCTTTCAGCAGATGTTTGCAATTGCTTTTATGATATCCAAAGGAATTTTCTTCTTGTACAAAAGATAAGGTATTACACCTTAGTTTTACTACTATGTCAAACTTATTCTTCAAATCGATCAATTGTAGAAATTCTGATCAATTGTAGAAATGCTGATCAATTGTACTCTTTGCGTTTTTCGGAGAAATAAAGTTTTAACCAATACCTCAGTACAAAATATTCCTGTACGAAAACCTTGTTGTTACATAAAAGTACTATTATATATTATGTATATGACTGACTTTGTTGTGAGTCATTTACTCATAATAGATGCTTGATTCCGCTTAAATAGTTGAGGAAACGAAGCACTAAACCTACCAAGTTTCCGCAGTAAGATAAATCGTTGTGAAACTTTTTGCATTCGATTCGGGTGGTGTCAGAAAAGTTTTTGAACAAAATCAATGATAGTAAAATGAAAATTGCATTTTGTGCATATGAAAAATTAGAAAAATTAGTAATAAACCTCTTTGAAAACTTTATTAGTAATTTATAGGAAGCAGCACGATTTTATTGTAGAATCGTTTAGGGTAGAAAAGTGTGTTTTGTTGTGTGTTGCATGTTGCTTTTATTTTTGACAGTCGCGTCAGCCTGTCTGGACGGGATCTTCTTAGCCCGGATCCGAACTTACCACACATCGGTCCAAGGTTTCCACCTGCAGGAAGGTACATACTGTTTTTTTCATTTTCACTCTTTTTAACCACTATACTAATATACGACACTGTACATTTTTTAATTTGTGTTTAATAATTTTGATCAATGTTTTATAAAATAATACACGCACCCGTATATTAAAAGGATGACTTGTTAAAGTAAAATTATAAATTGTCATTATTATAAGGATTCTCTAAAGCAAAATTAGTTCCAGTTTAATGATAATTAAACAACTACAATAGCAGACATACGCATAGAGATAAAATCGTCTGGTTGCTCTGTCTTTATGTAGTTTTAAGTTAATATCTTCAAATCATTTTTTATCTTTATTAAATATCAAACTATCTTAATATATAACTGACAAAATCATGAGCTCATCTCCTAAATCGCATCCGTTAAAATCGCAATTCTTGGTCGTAAATGCCAAACGGCTTAACATAGGATGACATAACATATGAAGTATCATTGGAAAGGCGATGAAGAATAGGGTTAAACGCAGTATGTGACGTGTACATCGGAGCATGCCAAAAAGACATATTGTATCTTGAGGGAACAACGAATACGATGAGGCGAAAAACAAAAGATGGTGGCATTGCCAAATGGGCGCTATAACGTATCTTCGTTGCTATTGGTCTGATTTTGACGTATGGGGTGTCTGATGAAAGCGGTGCCGACACAGAAGCCAACTGTTAATTCTTCTTCCGTTATCGTCGAATGTGAAGAGTCAATTCTTCTTCTTTTCCGTATAGTGCCTAACAGAACGGACATTTAACGTAGAAAGTGATAGGATCTGACAATTATGTAACAGTCGACGTAGAACGTGAAATTGGCTGAATCCGAATGTGAATACCAGCATAATTTATCATAAATGTTCGAAAATATACGCCACCTGGTGTATAAGTATTGAATTAATGATTAGGGAAATCGTCTCTACTATTTTATTTGTTTAATAATTATAAATTTTAAAGAGATAATTCGAGTAACCCTCGTTTACTTTTTAAATATCTTCCTACTTTTGATTTGGCATAGTGAGGTTTGACATTTTTCGAATTTTTTTGGTCAACTATTTACCAGATTCTTGTATTTTATTATGTTATTATTATGCACAATATTTTTAATGTTGATATTGCCAATTGACACTGATATTGTCATTAAATGTTGACATTGATATTGTGATATCGACATTAATATTCAGATTGATACTGACATTTCCATACAGAATATAGGAAATAGTATGTAGTAGTTAACAAATTTTACAAGTTATCCTTTTATTATATATATTTTTTCACTGTTTCTAAATATCGCAAAACACCATAACAAGTTTATTAACAAAAAAAATCACAAAATGGGGAAAAACATTAAAAAATCATAAGGAATCATTAAAAATTTTCAAAAAACATCGGATGGGACCCATTAAATCTTATCATTGCAAAATTGTTGTACAAAAAATAGTTTAAAGCAAAACAAATTTGATTATATCGGTACCCAAGTATTAAAGTAATTTGGAAATGTGTACTTTTTGTAAGTATTTTGTAGAAACACCTTTTGCACGTCGAGCACGTTAATTAGAGTATTATGCACTTTTTTATACTTTTAATACCGTGTGTGTTAAAAGTGATGTATATTGTATAATATCATCCCCTAACCAATAATGTAGTTTCAGATATTGCGTTTAATAGGTAAATATTTTATTCGTTATGTTGACTAACGAATTCGTAAAAGGTTGAAAGTCTCCATTTTAATGATTACTTTGGTTATTTTATTAGCTTGTGAGAATTCTGCCTTTACTTATTTTTAAAGAAGAACTTACACTACTTTTACCTTTTGATCACCAAATATATTCATAGAAAATACAGTTAAGATTTGATTTCATGTATAGTGCTTCTACAATTCGCTTACACGGGCTTCTCACTCAGTCGCTCTGATGAGGCTTACTAGGACTAAATACATGTAAGCTAATTGTAGAAGCAATATACGTGAAATTAAATCTTAACTGTCTTTTCTACATATTTATTTACTCGTATTTTTTGAGTATTTCAAGCCAGTTCATGAAACGTTCTTACTTAGATGAATCGATATGAAGTGGAATGCAATGTTAGACTTCCATGTCGGTGCATTCATCGCTTGCTTTGTAGAATGCACAGATTTAGGTAAGACTCTGAATTTTTGTTTCGAACAAGTAGAACTCGTCGAATATTTACCTTTTGTTCAAATATGTTTAATTTGGATTTTAGATGGCATGAGGTGACCAGGTATTTAATAAAAAACCTTTCTGCTCAAGAATCTTTCTTCTTTTTTATATTTTTACATCAGCAGGTACGTTGCTGGCTCTCTGGAACTTAGTTGTGAGACCATTGTCCTAGACCGTGTCTATTAGGCTCCAAGAAGATGTCCCGTGGTCTTGATAAAAGCCAGCCACTTCCTTATGACTAAGTATTTCAGATTCACAGCGGATCTAGCGTTGTAGGGTGTAGGATGTAGGGTTTCTTCACTTTGCTGTTCCAGCAACAGTATGTTCTCATGTAGACATATTTCTTCTGTTGCCAGTGTCTAGTCACCGTCTTTGTGACCGTTCTCAGCTTTCGTCTGCTAAGATTTATTAGACTAGACGCTAGGCTTCTGTCATTATTTATTTTTTAATCATACTACAATTCTTCCCACTTGATTATTGTTTTTTTTATTTTACTCATTTAATTACATCTTTGCAAATCATCCTTCTCTCTGACTTCAATGATCTCTCTCTCTCTCTTCAATCCTGACCCACCAGGGGGAGTGTAGTGGTCGACGTGATGTCGTGTATTGTCCGTCTCCAGAGATCTCTGTCTCTGGTCATTTCTTTTTAACTCATGCATAGGTCTTTGGCATATTCCTGTAATTTGATCTATCCATCTTGTTGGGGATCTTCCTCGTGATCTTCGGCCTTCTACCTTTCCTTGTATTATGAGTCTTTCCATGTTTTCTGTGTTTGCTCTCATAACATGCCCAAAATATTTTAATTGTTGGAGATGGACTTTACTAGAGAGTCGTTGGCTAACTTTTATCTCTCTTAAAATTGAATTATTTGTTCTACGGTTGGTCCAAGGAATTCGTAACATTCGTCTCCAACAGAACATTTCAGTGGCGTCTATCTTTCTTCTCTCCGATTGTCTCAGAGTCCAAGATTCACATCCGTAGGTCAGTATTGGGAATATTAAGCAGTTGATCAACCTCATCTTTATCGCTCTTGAAATTTGACAGTCCTTCCATATTTTATTCATTTTTGCTGTGGCAACTTTTGCTAAATCACATCTACGTTTAATCCTTCTTGTAATGACCCTGTGTTTGTGATTAACGATCCCAGATATAAGTATGAGCTCACAACCTCGAACCGGTCAATTGTGGTTATATGTGGATGATTGTTGTGTAGTCTATCCACTATCATGATCTTTGTCTTTGATATGTTTAATTGCAGACCAAATATTTGACTCCCCATATATGTTGAATAATTGTGGAGATAGTATACATCCTTGTCTGACACCCAGTTCTGGATGAAATTCGTTTGAAAGTGTGTCAAGTACTTTAACTGATCCAGTTGTGTGTTCATATAGTTCGGTTATAAGCGTAATTAGATGTTGTGGTACGCCTACTTCTTTTAGTATTCGTCATAAGTGTCTCCACTTGACCCTGTCGAACGCTTTACGGTAATCTATAAAACAGATGTATAGTGGGATGTTGAATTCCCTAGATTTCTCGATTATCTGTCTTATATTCAGCAGGTGTTCTCGAGTGCCTCTACCTTTGGTAAATCCAGTTTGCTCTTGTGGAATTTCTCTTTGAAGGAATGTTTTCAGTCTCTCATTGATTATATGTAGCATTATCTTGCTGGCATGGGATATAAGAGAGATAGTTCTATAATTGTCGCATTTATGGAAGCTGCCTTTTTTATGTATGGTCGTTATTGTAGATTTTGTCCAGTCTTCAGGCCATTGTTTGGAATGCCATATTTGGTTACAGAGTAGATGAAGTAACTTTACGCCGGTTTCTTCTGTGGCTTTAAGCATTTCTGCTGTTATCATATCTGGACCTGGTGCTTTGTTATATTTGAGCTTGTTGATAGCCTGTCTTACTTCATTTTCGAGTATATCAGGTTCTTCTTCCACCTCGTCAGAGATTTGGCTAACAAGCTCTTGGCGTTGATCATCTTTATATAGGTCCCTGCAATACGATCTCCATGTCTCTGCTATGTCTTCTCTGTTTGTTCTCAGGGTTCCAGTGTTATCTTCAATGGCTTAAGTTCTGGCTCTGAAGTCTCTTGTCAGGTAGCGTATTTTTCTAAATAGATCTCTCGGCTGATTATTCTGACCATGTCTCTCAATTTCTTTGCATATACTTTGATAGTACTGTTTTTTGTCGGCCTTACATCTTCGTTTTATTTCTTTATTGAGGTTTCTTAAACTAGCTTTTTCCCTTTCACTATATACACCACTTTTACAAAGATTTCTTCAATGATATATGACAATATACAAAATATCTTCAAGTAAAGTGATATTTTAATATAAGTATTTATATTCTCTCACTTTTAATTTATAAGAGTGGAATCAGGGTAGAGTTACACATTCCAATTAGGTTTTTAAAGCTGGTTGATGATATCACTTACTAAGTCCAAATTAAAGGACATATATTGTAAGTAAACAAGCTGACACAGCTGTGTCAACCTTTTTTTAAGATAATTTTTTGATTTTTACCTGTTAGACGCAATAAGTTTATGATTATATATCTATTATTTAACTCGTCTGCTCTTTTATATAATACAGCGAACCAGAATTCCGGTCACCAAGAGTTAAATTCTTATACGACAAATGGCGCCACGTATGGATGCTGTCATGGGAAAGGCAAAGAGAATTGTACGATCATCTGGCTTATCTGAAGGAAAAGGAAAAAGCCGACAACTTCTCTTGGGACGATTGGAGAAAACGCTTCTTGAAATTCATGAATTACAAGAAGTCCAGGTTGACAGATCTCTTTAGGAAGATGGATAAAGATAATAACGAATTGATTCCCAGAGATGACTTTATTGAAGGAATTATTAAGACCAGTAAGTATTTATGTAATTTTTTGTTTACACTTGTTTATATCTATAGGACTTAAACTTTCATAATTAAATTTTTCTATATGTATATATTTTGATTCAACTGTTGGTTTTCCAAAATGTATTGTTTCTTAATTTGCTTTCTACCTCCTCATGGTTAGTTTTAATTTTATTCATTTTTCTCTTTAACTCAGTCTAGGTTTTCTGGTTTCTGCTACATGCGTTTGTTGTATTCTTTTTAACTGTCCGTATGCGGTGTCATAATTCTTAGCCTGTCTTACATTGATCGTATAGAATTTGAGTTGCTCTAGATTTTTTTGTCATCCAACACTCCGCTGGCTTCGTTTAATTTTAACCATCCTGCTTTACATCTCCAATTGTTCCTCCAATCCACAAGGAATCTACGTTCCTGTAGTTGGCTGTATACCATGTATTAAAAATTTAATTAAAAATCCTTTGTAATAGGTATATATTTACTATATACCTATATAAATATATACCTATTACAAAGGATTTTTAATTAAATTTTTAATTAAAAAAGTTCCTCCAATATCATATATTACTGGAACAGATAGCTATTACGTCGGTCATTAAGTTTCAGGTTTAACCATGAGATGACAACTCCAACGAATTATTCACATGACATCGGTAGTGTCAACTTTCAAAATATGATGTCAAAATTTCATGTCATTCGGATTATTATTTACCGAGTTACAGTACTTGAAGTGAGACAGGGATGCACATTGTCGCCACTTCTTTTTAATGCCTACTCCGAAGAGATCCTGAAAAACGCTCTTGAGGGTGAAACAGCTGGAATAAAGGTAAATGGAGTTCCTATTAACAACATTAGATATGCGAACGACACTGTGATCTTAGCCGAAAACATTGAAGATCTTTAGAGACGTGACCAGAATAGCAGAGTATGGTCTAATGAATGCCAAGAAGATGAAATTTATGAGAATATCGAAAATTCAAAGAAATAGCGAGAATCTTCTAATAAACGGAACCAGTGTCGAACAAGTGGACAAATATGCATATCTGGGAATAATGATTAACTCAACAAATGATTACATTAAGTAGATTAAAATAAGAATAAAAAAGGCCAGAGGAAATTTCAACAAAATGAGAAGATTACTATGTACCAGGGATTTAAAACTGGAACCAAGAGTTAGGTTGGCGAGGTGAGATATGTTTTTTTGACTTTATTTTATGGAATGGAATCTTGGACCTTAAATGCAATATCAATAAAAAAACTGGAATCATTCGAGCTGTGGGTGTATAGAAGATTTCTGAAAATATTGTGGACAGAACACGTCACAAACAAAGAGGTTCTAGAAAGGATGAATAACGAAATGGAAATTTTAAATACAATTAAAACAAGAAAATTAGATATTAGAATATCTCGGACATATTACACGTGGAAAGAAATACACCTTTGCTCCAACTGATTATACAGGGAAAGATACAAGGAAAGAGAAGCATACAGAGGCGTAGAATGTCATGGCTGCGCAACCTGAGAGAGTGGTACGGATATACATCAAATGAACTTTTCAGAGCAACTGTCTCAAAAGTCCGAATAGCTATGATGATTGCCGACCTCCGCCACGAGATGGCACTTAAAGAAGAAGTGCTTGAAGTGACACCACTACCGGGACTCTGATTATTGGATTATAACCATTAAACGATGGTTTGCTGAATTAAAAAGCGGTCGTACCCACACCAATGATGCTGTAAGGCCAAATGAGGCAGTTATTCCTGAAAAACGATGAAAATTATTATGGAAAACAGCAAAGTGAGGTTGCAAGTAGTAAAGTAATCAATGAGTAGCGTTTTTACTATTAGATACGAACATTTGGATATAAGAGAGCTGTTTTGTCACACCAGAGAAACACAACAACGAATTGATTAGTCTCGGCGCTGTTTGGACATGCTTAATCGGAATAAGTTGGAGTTTTTACATCGATATTTCACAACGTATGAAACATGAATCATTACTTCTCGCCAGAACCACATTCGCAGTCATCTGGGTGGAGAGCATCTTGAGAAAACCGTAAACAGCTACCAAAGATGCAACAAACTGCCTTAAAGGTTGTAGTTTGGGACTCACAAGGAATTATTTTCATTGACTATTTTAAATATGGAGAAACAATCAACAGCGATTACTACATCGGTTTCCTGGAGCGTTTACAGACCGAAATCGCAAAAGAAAACGCATCATTTATTGAAGAAAAAGTGTTGTTTCACCAAGACAATGCACCCTGCCACAAGTGAATGAAAACGATGGCAAAAATTCATGAATTGGGCATTGAATTGTTTCCGCACCCACCTTATAGGTCAGATATGGCCTCCAGCGTCTACCACCGTTTTTCCGATCTAAAAAAATGCTGGGTAGCCAGATATATCGCTCCAAAAATTAGAAAAGCGTTGGAATTATTGTATCGTCGCTGAGGGAGAGTATCTTGATGAATAAAGAATAATTTTTGCAAAAAAATGTTGTTTAACTAGTCATGCTATGCCCTTGACTTGTTGACCGACGATATAAAACTACTTAAAATAATTTTCCGATTATAAATATTCTACCTTTTATCTTCTTCTTCTTCTTCTTTCGTTTTATGGCCTTCACCTCTTAGGTACGTGGCCAGCTCATGTGTATATTTTCATTTCAATTATAGAAGGGAATTCTCCTCACAGAGATTCTGGAAATAACCATATTCCCTTCAACTATTTTGGACAATTTATAGTGGATATTCTAAAATAATTCTATATGTCATGAATGATATAGATTTTTCTTGTTCCATCTATTAAGGGGACAGTCTCATGCGATTAAAAAAAAAGACGCATTTTAAAATTAAAGCAGAAAAAAAACTATAATATTTATTAACATAATTCCTTTTGGAGATGATTAAGTAAGTCTTAAAGTACATAATAAAAATTTTTAATAGCGATTTTAACTTCATTGGTGTCCTGTAGATGGCGTGTAGTAAAAAAGTGCGTTTTTGGCTGTCACCTGTAACAGATATTCAAAAAATTCAAAATGGGTTGTATTCGTGAGACTCAAAACTAGATGAAAAACCTTTAAAATATGCAAATTGTATTATTTTGAAGAGTTTATACGAATTTTTTCAAAAAAGTCGAAAAATCACTATATTTTTCGGTGGATTTACCCATATATAATAAAAGGGAGGGTGGTTTTTTAAATATTTTAAAGGTTTGTCATCTAGTACTTTCTATATATATTCGAAAAATTTTTGTTTTTTTAAAATCGGTTAAGAAGGTTCGGAGAAAAGTGTCTGACCAGTTTGAAAATGTTACTTTTGAGAAAAAAGCATTTTTAAGTTTTTTTTACATATTTTCGTGAATAAAAGGCTGATAACTTTATACTCACGTTTAATCGGCCATTCCTGGTGAATATTCAGGACTGTCTTCATCCAACAGTTGTTGTAAATGTCTTTGTAAAGCTGTAAATTTCAATACAACGTCGCGATGTTTTATAATTAATTCATTTGTTTGACTGGAGTCTCACTCTCAATTCACGCCGCGATGTTGCCAGTGTAAGTGTAAAAACGGAACACACCTAGATCGCATGTCAATTCAACGAAAACGTACTTATTTATAAATATAGATATGAAAATATTTTATAACTAAAAAAATGGTTGTTTTATTGCCAAAACGGCTTGAAAAAAAGTTGATTTCTAAAATTAAAAATAAAAAGGAATTTTAAAAATAAAATAATTATATTACACTCGTTTTAATTTGAAATTATAAACAATATTTGGATTAATAAATGTATTTAAGTATAAATTTTATAACTCAAATAATACCTAATGAACAAAATTGATGTTAATAAAACATTATTTATTATCTGCACAAAACCGGACTTTCGGGAAAAATCGGTAGACGGAGCAACACTGTCGGCGTACCATATACGCTACTATAAACCGCTGAGGAGAAGTGGAACTATAAATCCGGTGGAACAAATAAATTAGTTATAAAACATTGCGACGTTATAAAGAAACACTGGTTAATTGCAACGCAGTGAATCTTAGTATTTGTAAAAAATCCTATGTTCCGGATTTAAAATTCCAAATGTGTATCTTCTTCTTCTAGTTCCATGACCGCTATCGATCGTTGGATATCATGTTGGCTACCATATTCGCTATCGTGACTTTATTGACAAATGTGTATAGTAACTGCCAAACGTTATACTGATATACATACTATATAAAAATGAATCACTAATACATACCCAACATATACAACATACATACAAAAGCAAGAACAGCTGGAGCCTCGCGCTCGCCGCGCGGAGAGACACCGGTTTTCATACGTGCGTAGATGACGTTAATAAAATAACTATAACTTATATTCTAGTGGGAATTTCTTTTTAAAATTTTAGGAGAGAGTTTTTAAATGTAAATGTAAGCGATTTATAAAAAAAAATTAAAATTGATTTTTTGAAAGTTCCGCATGAGACTGTCCCCTTAAGCTATATAAGATATATCTGGAATTTAGCATCTTGGACAGGACATCAGTGGTTAAAGGATAGGTTAGGTTACGTATTTATTTATATTTTACTTATATTTTAATTTGGAAAATATTGATAAACTTACCAATCGTTTTCAAGGTTTTAGCATTGATATTGTGGAAAATATTTTGTACTGAAATGGGCGTTGGGCATCCATCTTTAATAAGTTTTTGATATAAATCAAATAGTGTCCTATAGTGCCCTATAGTGTCCTATAATGCTAGAGTGTGTACACTATTGTGACACTCTAGCAAGATGTGTATTATACTTCCTATTTGCCCACACTCACAAAAAGGGGAATCAATACAGTTAATTTTAAATAGATGATCTGGCGCCAAAATTCTACCTTTTATTTCTTTTGTCTGACTGATTCCCTAACCATATTTATCTTACTTTTCTTTTTCTTTTTATGGAGACGTGACTGTGTATTTCTCAATGTGCCTCCAGTTTTCGTAGTCTTCCTACTGATCGTCTTCCTATTGGGGAACCGACTCTTTCCGTCTTTACTACTCTATTTGTTGTCATTCGGCTTATATGATCGCTCCATTCTACTCTTCTATTTTTTACTCAGTTCTGGATGTTCTCCACCTTGCATCTACGTCGTATATCTGTATTAGCTCTGTCCCATAGTGTCTTGCCATCAATTTTTCTAAGTGTTTTCATCTCTGTTGTTTCTAACATCCTTTCTGTCCTCTCTGTGTAAGTCGTGTTTCTGTCGGTTATGTCATTATTGGTCTGATGACTGTTTTGTAAATTCTGCCTTTCATTTCTTTCCCGATATTTGTATTTCTCCGTATTGTTTCATTCAGGCAGCTTACGGCTCTGTTTGCCTTATTCACTTGATCTTCCACTTCAGTAGCTAGATAATGTGATGCCTAGATATTTAAACTCCATCACTTGTTCTATTATCTGCATTGGTGCATCATACGTTGTAAATCGTCTTCACTTTGAGATATTAGTATTGTTTTTCTCCCATTTGGTATCCTTTTTTAGTTCTTATTTTTTGAGTCCCTGAGTCCTCCCTGAGGACTCAGGGAATCACCCTGTCTTATCCCATTGCCAGCTTTAATAGGGTCGGTTAGTTCTTCTTCTACTTTTACTTTTATTGTGTTTTTTTCGTAAATATTTTCGATCGTTTTGATTATTCCTAGAGAGAAGTATCTCTCTTGCCTACAATAAGTAGATTTTTTTATAGCCCTTTTTCTATCCGAATTTTCGAATAAAGGCCTCTCCCATTTCTCGCCATTCATCCCTGTTGTGTGCTAGGCGTTTCCACATTGGTCCTGCGACTCTTTTGATATCGTCGCTCCAGCACATTTGAGGTCTTCCTCTTGGTCTCTTCGCATCGTACGGTCGCCAGTTTCCAACTTCTTTGTTCCATCTACCATCTTCGAGACGTTCGTTGTGTCCAGCCCATTTCCATTTTAATTTAGTTGCTTGTTTCGCGGCGTCCTTTATTTTTGTTTTGTTCCGGATTGCTTCGTTCATTTGCCGATCTATTAGTGAGATACCAAGCATCTGTCGTTCCATGGCTCGCTGAGTTTTTCGAATCTTGTCCATGTTCTTTTTTGTGAATGTCCAGGTTTGAGCTCCGTAAGTGAGAACGGGAAGGATACAAGAATCGAACACTTTGGTTCGAAGGTTTTGGGGTATCTTTTTGTCTTTCAGTATGTATGAGAGTTTTCCAAATGCGGTCCATCCCATTCTTACTCGTCTGCTTATTTCGGTAGTTTGGGTTTCTTTGTTTACCTTGATATTCTGACCCAGATATATGTATTCTTCTACATGTTCCACTTTTGTTTCTTGGATGGTTATCGTCGGTTGATCATCTTTATTCGACATTAGCTTAGTTTTACTACAATAAGTAGATAACATCCCTGAATTTGACCTGTTCAAATGCCTTTTTAAGATCCACGAAACATAGATATACCGGTTTGTTGTATTCTGATGATTTCTCTTGCACTTGCCTTATTATAAATATAGGGTCGTTGCATGATCTTTCCGACCTAAAACCTTGTTGTCGGTCTGCTAGTGTTATAATTTCATTCAGTTTATTTGTTATTACTTTGGTTGTTAATTTTAGTGTTTTGTTTTAATAAATTAATTCCTTTGTAATTTTCTGGGTTTGATTGGTTTCCCTTATTGAAGAGAGGTATTTGGATGCTTGATCCCCATTATGGAGGAATTTTGTTTTGTTCTATTATTTAATGGATTAGTTTTAATAAACCGTATTTATCCATAGATGTAATCTGACTCTACTTAATTAAAATAATTTGTTTTTGTAGAATTCGACACCTCTCGCCTTGAAATGAAACACGTAGCTGACATGTTCGACGAGAATAACCGAGGATTGATCGATTGGAAGAAGTTCATAGCAGCTCTCAGACCTGATTGGGAAGAAAAGGCACCTGACAATGATGCCCAAAAGATCCATGACGAAGTCAAGCGATTGGTTATGTTATGTACTTGCCGACAGAAATTCAGAGTTTTCCAAGTAGGAGAGGGAAAATACAGGGTTAGTCTTTTTAACTGTATTTATATTCAAAACATTTTATTGATATATGTTTCGATAAACGTTTGCGAAAAGTTTTAAGTTCTACTCATCCTTCTGATGAAGCTAATATTTAGTGTGTTAAGTATGCCATAAGTTGCAAACTAGTAAAAAAAACATCTCGTGTACATGCTTTCATGGCAGTAATATTACAATTTCACATTGTTTTCTGAGTTTATAGGTCCTGATTTGAATTTACTTCAGAGAACGATTTCCGAAGTGGAAATTGAAACGTCAATAAACGTATTTTTATTTTTAATTGTGGCTTATTCCCAGTTAAATAGTAATTAAATTTAGTCAAAAAATTGCAGAGGACGTCACAGCCACTGCTAGCCTACACATATCTTCCAAATGATTCAACCAACAATTGACCCAACAATTGTAAAAAGATTTACTAAACTTCAATTAAATCCAACGATACATCCCCACCAAACTCCAAACAACTACCGAACTACGTACGTCTGAATTAAGGATACCTTTCCTTAGTCTACAGCAAGAATCTCTCCCAGATGTAACCTAAACTTCTTAAATAATATCAAAACGATAAAATTTACAAGGCAGAAGCACACCAGGGGTTAGAGGAAAACATTAATTACTGCATCGTCTTTGATAGTGGTTGGCAGCAAAAAAGTGCTATTCTCAAATTGAGCAAGATGTAAAGATTTGCTTGCCCTGAAAATACAGGTGATCTGAGACGAAAGTTTCTTTTTTTACTGAACATCTGGCTATAAAAGGAATTATACCCAACCTGCAGGATTACACGCAGTCACACACAGGGTCTAAAACAGCGGAAGGATTAGGTGTAGAAATTTACAGCAATGGTGGAAATGTAAGGTAGGAGAATATACCACCTATGTGTTCCATTCAGAAATTTATGCAAATCTTACATCGTGTAAGAGGTATTTACATTTGGGCTTTCGAATTCAAACGAGTCCATACATACACAGATATGTAGGCGACTATAGATGCTCTAGGATCTCTAGACTAGGATAACCCGATAGACTAGATGAGCATACAGTGTTAAATTGACAATTAAAGAGCTGATAAAAGGACAGAAAAGGAATAAGCTATAAAATACTTCGGTCCAGAGACAGCCTGAAGAGTGTTAAAAAGTCAGCTACCAGAAAAAAAGCCTGGATTCCAACCCAACATAACTTATTGCACTGGAAAATTACTTTCGGTCAAACCATAGTAAAATGTATATTGGAAAAACATGCGCTAATAGGGCCGAAGTACTGAAGTACTCCGAAAACAAAGCTCAGAATGTAATAGTTGGCATGACAAGACAAGAACAGGAACGTCTTGGAGAATACCAAATGACTCAAAAAAGATATGTACAAGCTGGTAGAGGGTTCCGAAATTTTGAAATGGGTGCAATGAATAAATGTAAGTTTGAAAACAAAGTTTTCAGTGTTCTATTGTTATATACAAAAAAAACAAGTCTCCCCCAACCCACTCTCTGTAAATGCGGAAAACAATGTAAAATGAGTTCAATACTGTCAAGGATAACTTCCTAAATACTGTATTTAAATTTTACAACAGAGGAATACTTAGCACTCCGTATTGTAAACCTAAATTAAATTGTTCGATAGTATTATTCGCTATCTTCTGTCGGAACGCTTGTATAATCTAATATTTTTTTTTAGTTTGGAGAAAGTCAGAAACTACGTCTAGTCCGTATTCTCCGAAGTACTGTGATGGTACGTGTAGGAGGTGGTTGGGTAGCTCTAGATGAGTTCCTATTGAAGAACGATCCTTGCAGAGGTAAGATATACTCAAAATTAGTTATAATTTTAGTTAATTTAAGCTTAAAATAGTGAAATTAGTGACTATAAGTAAAACAATTATATCTACTTATGAAAAATACAGCTTAACATACGGACGTAATTGAAATTGTCTACAAAATAAGATTTTTGTATCAGTTTAATCAAAAACAAATCATTTTATACATAACAATGTAATAAAATCAAGAGTTTAGTTACAAAAGAGGCCACTAGATGGCGGTTATATTATCATTATGTCATTGTCAACAAATATGTCATTCTCATAATTTTGTAAATAAAATTCAGTTACGTCAATATTTTATTGATCCAGAGCTGTCGTCACTTTTTTTACTATTTTTATTATTTATAGATTATTTGGTAGCAGATACCGACAAATTATATCGTTTTCATAAACCAATGATATAGGATATTAAGTAAATTAAATAAAAAATGCGAGAAATCAATCGATAAATTATTAACAGGGGATATTTTAACATTAAATCTTATAACACTTGTCACGTTTATGTATATATATATTGGCTTTAAATTTAACAAAAATATAATATTTATCATTAACAACAGTTCATGTATTACTCGCATTAACAAATCTGCGCCCTTTAAAAATAATAACTTACAGCTTTTTAATATGTTCCATGTACATTGGATATTTATAAAAATTCAATAATGTATTAAAAACATTTTGTGCATAATAGCTAAAAAATACAAGATGTTACACACTTGGCAAGATTTGTTTATACAATTTTTTTGATACAAGTTAATGATTGTTGTGTGATACATCCTGTATAAGTTGTCGATTAACACTAACTTTAAGCTGTTGCTGTAAATGCTGCAGATTATGAGTGAGATGTAGCATATATACATTACGATTCATTAGAACACTGATAATTATTTCATGTCATTTTCATTGCAAAAATAGTAGCTAAGTTTGCAGATATCATACACCTCGCTCTTATGTCACTTTATAAATATATTGGACGAAGGAAGTCATTTTTATAGTATCACAGTGGTTAATTGCGCCATGATCTTTGACTTCAGATATCTATATCTTGATCAAAATTTAGAATCAGTATACAAATGCAAAATACCTAGGGAAGTATATAAAAACAGCCCATAAGATATACTAAAAATATTATGTTCACTAATTCACGTTACTTAGAAGGTTCTGAAAGTAGAGTCAGAAGCATTACTAAACAAAATGATTTTGATTGGAAACGATATTTAATAAAATGTAAAAGGCATTCTAGTGGCTAACGTTTCATTACGTCTCTTCAACCGTGCGTTTACCAATTTTATTTGTTATTATCATCATCAGTGGCATTACAGCTCGTTATGAGCCAAAGCCTTACTTAGAACAATCTTCCATTCGCCCCTGTCTCTGGCAACTCTTCTAGCTTTAACTCCAATGGATTTTAGATCAGAGATTCTGTGGACCTAGCAATAATGTCTATGTCATCTGCATATCCGACCACTTTTACAGATTTATTAAATATGGTGCCATTCGTATTAATATGGCACTATCGAATTACTTTTTCTAGGTTAAATAAGAGACACGACAGTCCATCTCCCTGTCTCAGTCCATTTTTACAATGGAATGTTCTTTAAAAGTCGTTTTGGATTCTGACTACACTCACAGGCGTAGAAACGGTCACGTGTCAGTGATTTGTTACTCACTTTCTCGGTATCAAATAAAGTTTAAAACTTTTATTGCATTTACATTTGTATCGAAGATTTTTTTGTATTGGATTTTTGTTAGTCAACCTAATATTTGTTGGTCTTCCAGTTTTAATTTTTTCACTGCAAGACTGCATGGCTGTAGAATTTTTATATTAGGCGTCAAGCTTTATATATACCCACAACCTTTTTAGTTGTGCTGTGGCGTTGACCCAACTGGGGTTTCTTCTTCTTCTTAAGGTTCCATCTTCTAACGAAGGTTGGATATCAACATGGCAATTCTTATTTTACTTACAGCAGCTCTAAATAGTTGGCTAGAGCTCAGACTAAACCATTCTCTTAGATTTCGTAGCCAGGAGGTTCGTCTTCTTCCTACATCTCTTTTACCTTTTATTTTGCCCTCTATAATCAAACGTAGTAGCCCATAACGAGGACCTCTTAATATATGACCGAAATATTCAAGTTTCCGCCTCTTAATTGTCTGTACAATTTCTTCCCTCTTATTAACCCTATCAAGGACTTCAATATTGGTAATTTTGTCTACCCATGCTATTCGTAGCATCCTTCGATAACACCAACGCTCAAAAGCTTCCAATTTCTTAATCTCCAGTTGTTTCAATGTCCATGCCTCAGATCCGTAGAGCAAAGTTGTAAAAATGTAGCAGCGCAATAACCTTATCCTTAGATCCATTCTTAGGTCTCTACTACACAATAGATGTTTCATTTTTACAAATTTTGCCCTTGCTATTTCTATACGGCTTTTAATCTCTTGTGTTTGTTCTGCGTTTTGACTAACCAATGTTCCTAGATATTTGTATTTATCTACCCTTTCTATCTGGATATTATTAATATGGAGTGTCTCGTTGTCTTTTGGATGTTTTGTAATGACCATGAATTTTGTTTTCTTTAAGTTCATTTTAATACCATATATGGTACACTTTTCATTCAGCCGTTCCAGTATGTTTGTTAGACTTTGCAGAGTTGAAGTAAATATGACAGTATCATCGGCATATCTTATATTATTAATAATTTCACCATTTATTATCATTCCATCGTTACACTCTCCTAAAGCTTCTTGGAAAATGGCTTCGCTATATATATTAAACAGCAATGGTGACAATACACAGCCCTGTCTCACACCCCGAAGAATTTCTATTTCTTCCGACATTTGATTTTCAATTCTTATTTTGACTTTCTGGTTCCAGTAGAGGTTCGAGATTACTCTGATGTCGCGGCTATCGATGTTTTTCATTTTTAAAATATTGATTAGTTTATTGTGCTGTACCTTGTCAAATGCTTTTTCAAAATCAATAAAACATGTATACATGTCTTGGTTCATATCCAGATTTCTTTGCATGAGCACATTTATACCGAACAATGCTTCCCTGGTTCCCGTGCCGTTTCTAAAGCCTAACTGACTATCACTAATTTCATCATCCAGCTTTCTGTAAATTCTGTTGTGGACTATTCGTAGAAATACTTTCAAAACATGGCTCATTAATGCAATTGTACGGTGTTCTGAAACTGGGGTTTAGATCATCATTTTTACCAAAAATGGACAGATATTACTGTTTACTTTCATTCAAAACTTTTAACGCGTTTACAATTGGGATAGGTCTCGCCAATTAATTGGCGATTGAACGCGTTTAAATATATGGTTTTCAAGGTCTGCTTATAATAACAATAAGATGAAATAATATAATATGGTATTATGTTATTGTTATTATGTACTTATTATGTACTAATACGAATTATTAAATAACTTAGGTTTATTTCCCTTCTCTTCCAGTGCTCTTTCTATGTTAAGCATTGCTCAATACTACTTCAAATATGTTATCTCATGCATTGGTTAATACCTATTTTTTCATAACGTATTGGTTATATGAAATAATAGGTCTTAGAATCTTCTATGGGAATAATACCAAATAAATTGAGAAAATAGAGAAATTATAGAAACAAGCTTCTTATCTTCTTAGCATCTTCTAACAGAATGTGGAAAATCTACAGTTAACAGACAAAATAACAATATTTCCAGTGACTTAAAAACAGTATTAGGTGAACATTTAAATACTAAAAACTTAATTAGATTTCTAAAAGAAACATCTTTATATAATTTAATATAATGTAACTAATGTAAACTAATGTCGCTAATGACCCAGGTGGTTGAAGCGACTATTATCAGTAAATAAAAAAAAGCTTATTATCTTAAAACGTAAACTTTGTTATCGTTAATTATTTTTTACTGTAATGACATGTCCATAGCATACTCTAAAACTAGTCAAAGCGTTTAAGAGGTCATGAACTTTCTAGCTTTAAAAAATATCTAAACTTCCTTAGTTCAATATATGATAAGAATAGTCTTTTATAAATTGTTTTGATCTGTTGGCAACACGAAAACTATGCACAATACAAACATGCAAGCAATGTGACTAATTCATTATCATCTATTCATATACATACCAGCTGTGATCAGTTACTGTACCAATCTAGGCGGCTAAATAGCTCTAGTCGCTTATAAACGTCTTAAGAAATTTTAAGTAAAGTAAAACTCGATGTGTACAAGCTTTTACATACAACAGTATAAAAATATGAATATGTTTGCAAAAAAAAACATTAGGACAGAGGAATATATTTGTCATTTGAGTTTTTTTCGTCCCTGATGTTTTTAAAACACAAATGTTATATTTTTCTTGGTTTTTTAAAGATATTTACGTGTAAATATCACAAAACAATCCATGTGGAAATGTGTATTGGAAAGCACCTAGGAATACGAAGAACTTTTTTGTCCATAGTTTACTTTTGTAGAAAGTCACTCTTTTTAAAATCTTTAAAAAGATTTACTCATTATACACGCAAGACTGTAGCATTGGGGAAGAGCCCCGAGTCCATGGACATAAGTAATAGCAGGGCTTGTGCTAGAGTTTTGAGCGCCCCGGGCTAAACAAAATTTAGCGCAGTTTTAGACAAGAATATACAAATTTACTGAAAATTAAAAAAAAATAGTAAAATAGTCAAAACATCAAAATAACACAATACAGATGTGTGTAGAAATTTATTTATTTAAAATTTTTTTACTACAGTAAACGCAGTAAGTCAATCAATTTCTTTTGTTATCGAAAAAGCAATTGCAAGGATATGATCACTTTATTTAGAATTTACTTTAAGTGGCTAACTAGACAGATCATTATATTTAAAATTCCAGATTTGTTTTCGGTTGTGGATTATTTAGATTTTATGTTGAAGGTACTTCTTGAAAATCAAATGCAGAAGTAAAAAATAATGATAAAAATGTTAAAAAATTTTATTTTT